GCGCGCCCCCCCGCTGCTCTGGGAGGGTGTTGTATCAAACATTTCTCACTATCAGGGGCCTGAGAGGTCGTCATCACTATGTGACGTGAGTAATCTCACTTTCATGTTGGGCGGCAGCAACCTTCTTCCGAGGAAGTCAGCGGTCTCGTGAGCCTTGGTTATTGGGCAGTGGGCGAGGGGTTTGGTTTTGGAGAGAGATGTTTTTCCCCCCCGTGGTGATGTGTGCTGCCCTCGAAAACAATTCCTTCGGGGGGGGGGGGGGGGGGGGGCAAAGCTGCTGGGAAAGTTGCCGGCGGAAGAATTGGCGGTGTGCTTCTGGCTAACAGTTGGCAGTGGGGGGATGCCCCTATTCACTCCCTCGGTGTGGCGATGCTGCTCGAACCTTCACAGGTGCACCACTTTGAGGACATTGGATACCGCCATGGAGAGTTCCACCAGTGCCCCGATAATGCGCCTGGAGGACAGCTGTTGTCTTCGGAAACACTGAACGGCATGAAGGGGACCGTGGAGAGAGAAGGCGGCATCGGGTGTCGATGTGATTGCGGCGACAAGACGGTGTACAACTTTCAAACTATGTGTATGGCTCAACTCAAAGCCCCAACAACACCAGGGAGATCATCATGGCTGCCTTAGAGTAGTAGAAAGCAATGCACTTCTACTTGGGATTATTTGATCTTGAGATTGGGCACATGGCTGTTATGACACCCCCTTGGGCCCTGATCATGGACACTAGCTGCATATAGACTATGTGTCAGAATACTTGAATGACATCCTCTAAATCCTATCCAATCAATCACCGCCATCTATCCAAACACCCTATTGATACATTGGTCATTACGCACCGATAGATAGAAGAAAATAAAGAATAGAGAGGGGGCATGGTTCTAATTGGTAAAGCCCTCGTCGTCGTCTTCCGAGTCGTACTTACCCTGGTAGTCGCCGAGCAGTATGTCATCCACGCCAAGGCCGGTCGGCGAATTCCTGATCCACTCGGTCTCGACGCGGAAGAAGATCCACACCCAGCGGCGGAAGACCTCGAGGAACTGAATGAGGAAGATGGAGCTCTCGAAATCCGTCAGGCGGTCGAGGTGGGGGCTCAGCTTGAGGGCCCAGGTGCACCGCAGCATGAGGTCGAGGGCCATGACGAGGTAGTAGACGAGCGGGGGGTAGAAGAGCAGGCGGCGCCGCAGGCCAAAGGGGTGGTCGGGGCGCTGCGCTCGCGGGCCGGGGCGAAGAGGGTGAGGTCCCAATCCTTGGTGACGTCCCAGTAGAACGAGTAGAGCGAGTTGAGCAGGACGGCGGCGAGCCAGGCGCGGCTGAGGCCTGGCTTGGGCTGATCGGCGGGCAGGCTGCGCTGGATGGCGCTCAAGATGATGACGGGGAATGCGGTCGAGTACTTGGCGGCGTTGGCCAGGTGCTGGCCGCCCCAGCCGGTGGACTCCTTGTAGGGGGCGCGGCGGACGCGGAAGTACTCGGTCAGGCACTGGCGCAGTCGAATGGCGCTCGGAACGGCCATGATGAGGGGCACCATGACGGCGCCGCCGCAGCCGCGATCGGGGCGGGCCGTGGAGGCACCGTTGGGGGTGAAGAACATGCAGAGGGTGACGTAAAGGTCTGCGAGAACCTTGGCGTAGCTTGTCAGGGCATCAGCCAGGAGAATGTCGCCAAACTTGCCGTCCTGCGCCTGGGCGATGCCGCCAATGCTGACGCGGCGCAAGGTCTGAAGAAAGCGAGTGCGGCCATGGTGGGTAAAGGTCCGCAGGGGGAAGAAGAAGACGCCGACCGTGGCCACAAAGAGGGTCATGGGGCATCCAGTCATATTGAATAACGAGTTCGGA